TCTCTCTCTCTCTCTCTCTCTCTCTCTCTCTCTCTCTCTCTCTCTCTGTCTCCTGTACTGCTTTCCACGAGCTCTATTGTATTCCTGTATTGTAATCTCTTCTTCCTGTACTGTCTGCTCTCCCTTAAGTCGCTTCCTTTTCCTCTCTTTTCATGAGAGTTGAACATATTCCGTCCTGTCAAATCTATCTCTGATCCATCATCTGTTTGTCCACTCAATTTGACATCACTTTCAAACATGGGTGATTGCTTCTACAAATTAACTTGACCTTCATTGTTTGGGATTAAAGATAAATACTAAGGGCTTGTCTGTATTCCAGCCAGGGAGATTAAAGGTGTGTGCCAAGGGCTGAGCCACACCCTAACTAAAAACAAGGTCAAATATCCTATAATAAGGTAAGAAATATTAATGATGTAAACAATGTCCTCACAGTCTGTCCTTGCAAGCACTATGGGATGTCATGTTAAGGAAGATGGTGCTGGGTGAGGTTAGATACTTCCTCTACACACGGATTGGGGTTTTTCTACACAAGTCTCTTTTAATGTCAACTTTGCCGTCCTAGCATTTCTTCTGGATTCCAGTAGATTAACCTGAAAAAGAAAAGGATAGAAACCATCCATGTCCAGAATATAAGCCATTTGTTCCCTTGAATCTGAGGACACACATTGTATACTACACTGAAGATGGTGTGTCATGTTAGATGATACACAATATGTGGGAACTTAGAATTTCCTTCCACATTATCTGGCTAAGTCAATGAGGGTTTATCTGGTGTATGGAAAAGTTATATAGCTTCAGGAAGAATTTCCCAACTTCAGAACTACTAAGAGAAAACTTGCCTCTAATACTAACTGAAGCCCTGAGATCTAGACAAATTCTAATCATTGTTTGGGTACAATCTTCACAGCAAGATGCTGTGAGAAATATTGTTATGTTGACCACTTTCCAAATGATGCTGAGACACAGGGTAGTCTGTTGACTTCTGTGGGCATTTTCCAGTAGATACAGAGTCAGGAGTAAAATGCATGTCCCCCCTGTTTCCAATGCCACACTCTCTTCACCATACTGCTCATCCAGCTTGAGCAGGTTGTATTTAAAATAATGAAGTCATTTTTATTCTGAGATCTTCTTAGGCAAAAAGGGTGAGCTTTTGCATGCCCACATATGCCTACAAATTTTTCAAAGAATATCATCTTTACATACACCAAACTTAGCCTTTTACTGGAGGAAGTGGTCCTGTTTGCTAATTACTACTTCTGTCCATTTTCCCTTCTTTCTAGAAAAAAGGATAATCCCTTAACTTGGAGTATTGTATCTGCTTTTGTAAGACAGTGTGGATGCTGAGACAAGTCTCTGTACCTCAGAATGTCAACACATTGGTCAAAGAAATGAATTTATCAGTTAAATGCAGCCAAAGGATTTAGTTTATCTAAATGTGCTACAAAGGAGAAATAGTTTACCATTGTTTTTACAGATTGAGGTAAATCTGACAGATCATTGACATATGCTACGGATTTAATTTAATACCGCAGTACACATGTAGGCTCTGATAAGTTTTTGTAAGAATCTAGGCTAAGAGGAGTAGAGTCGTTTCAATATTTATGGGGTTGAAAATACAGAGGTTGCAAAGGAAGCATTTTAATTAAAACAGCATTTGCCTGTATATGCTCAGAGTACAAATAGAGGGACAACTTCTCAAAGCCTTACTACTGTTTCCTATACTTGCTGGAGTTTTCAACACATTCAACACTTTTGCCTCAGTTTGGCTATCCCATTGTTTGGCTTTTGCCTTGAGGATAACATAAAGTATACTTTATCATTTCTTTTTATTTTTACTTTCTCCCAACTAAACATGATGACACTTTATATCTCACCTTTGTGATTGTATGTTTTAGGTATCCTAGAGATAACATCAGTGGAAATTGGAGTTGTTGCCGTCAAAGCCATCAACAGCAACTACTACTTAGCCATGAACAAGAAGGGGAAACTCTATGGCTCAGTAAGTAGTCTGATTTCATTTTCAAAACACATTGTATGGTTAGTACCAGAGATTTGGATGGTTTCCTAGAGAAAACACTAAATGGCTTTGCTGTCATTCGATCGCTACTAATAGGATTCACAGCATCTCAAGGGCTGGCAAACAGCATGTTCAACTCTATAATCTCCCGACTTGTTTGCCAATGAGTCTACTACACAGGCTATTACTGACATTTGTGAATGTTCAGAACTGCAAGCCAATCAGCCTTTCACAGAAGCATCTGGATGAAATAGTGCAGGGACAAGAGATGACAACTTGGAGAAAAATCCCTTAAACAAAAAACTTGGGAGGAATGGAACATCATGCACTATGTGTAGCTGAAGAAAGAAAAACCATGGCTCAGATGCTGTGTACTTTGTTAAAATCATAAACAATGAAACAAGTCAAGAGATTCATAATTTTCCAGGCTATTTTATGAACCAAGAATTACACATGCCTATGTAATAGTGATTAATTTTAATTATGCATGAACATTATAGACATTATGTAAAGACAAAGTACTGTCTTCACAGTAGGGTCTAATTCTACAAAAAATTATACATTTAATAATAGAGGACACTCTTTTAGTAGGGTCCTCATGCTCCCTTGGGTAGACTGAGAAGTGTTAAGTACTTTGAATATGACCTCTTCACATTCAAGTCTAGTTCGTTTAGAAAAAGTCTTTTTGACTGAAATCTCACATAAAATAATAATTATTTAGAATTAAAATCACAGTCATAATTAAAACAGAATTATACACAGTATAGTCATTATACTATTTAAACTTTTAGAAGAAATGCCTTAGTTAAACATGTGGTTGGCTACTGTGTGCCAGGTACTGTTTGGCCTACCCCCCAAGGATGTATAAGGAAGAAGTATAGAATGACACTGTTTCCTACTTCCCAAGGGTGTATAAGGAAGAAGTATAGAATGACACATGGTTGTGTACAACTGTGATTGCAGCACTTGGAAGGCTGAGGTGGGACGGTCACATATTCCATACCAGTGTGGACATGTAGGAGAACTTGTTCCCAAACAAAGAAAAACAACTCCTTCATTCATGTGAATACACACATACACACACATACAAAGAGAGAGAAAGCTTTGTCTTCAAGCATTTTATAATATATAGGGAAAAATATCAATAAGTATGAAATAGTTACAGAACAACTAGTTTGTAAGAGAAGACCATTAGTAGTACAGTAACCTTATGATGATGTCAGAAGTCTGCTTCAATCACTTGATTGTCATTTTAAGGATACTACAAGCAGGACAATTAATACTATGGCTATGTCTTGTAGTTTTGATCCCAGAGATATACCAAAAGTCACTAAAGGAACTTAAATTTTCCTGAATTCCGCTATAGAGGAATACATGGAATAAAGAGACATGATCTTTTAATTGTATTTTTGGAGGCTATATAGTAACATCTGACATGGGTATTTAATAAGCTCGTCTTTTTCTAGCCAGATATTGTGCACATTTACATTTTTATAATTATCAAAAAATAACTTTAAATATGTAAATTTACTTTCTTAATTAGCATAAGGGTGGTCAGTAGTTCTTAGACCTGAGTAAGTTTCAAAATCAGTGTGAGGATCTGTCAAACAACATAATGATGGAACACAATTCCATACTGTCTGATTCAGAGTCTAAGAAGGACTAAGGACTTATACATTCAGTGAGGTGCCAGCTGCTGTCTGTGTTGTGTTGTTGGTGAGTTGAGAACCAACAGTTCTCAAGTTTAGAAATGGTCTAGCTTTGTCTTTTATTCATATCAGCTCTACTGTTAAATGACAAGCCAGTCATACGAGGACTAATCCTGGTATGAGGGCCACAGGAATTTTAATTCAATTTCTTCATTGCATTATTATTTCCCCAAGAAGCCTAAAAAGGCAATAAAACTTTTTTTTTTGTTTTAAATAGCTCTATTTAGGGCTTTAAATTCTTACCACTTTTGAGAAAGTAGAGCTTTTGCTTTTGTTTTTATTAAGCATGGTTAGGGCCTTACCAGTTGGCCTAGCAAGTAAATGAGCATTCTCCCAAATCTAACAACCTGGGTTCAGTCCCCAGAACTCATATGGTAGAACAATGATGACTCCCACAGTTGTACACACACACACACACACACACACACACACACACACGCATGCCCCCCCCACAGATACATACACACTACCAACACTACCACCATCACCACCACCACCACCAAAATAAACAAATCTGCTTATAATTTTTCTTTCAAGAATGTCATAGGCATGGAGAGATGATGGCTCAGTGGTTAAGAGCACTCTTGCAGAGGACCCAAATTCAGTTCTCAGTACGCATATGATGGCTCACAACCATAGGTAATGCCTGTTTCAGGCCATAAAATATTCTGCTAGCCTTCTTCAGTACCAGACATGCAAGTAGTATACAGAAAAATACACAGGCTGAACATCCCTATGCATAAAATAAATCACTTTTAAACTAAAAAACAAAACAAACAAACAAACAACAATAAAATATGTCTGAATCCAGACAGTAGCCTGCACATTCATTTCCAGATACTTAAGGCTGGAGCAAGATAACTTAAGCCCATGAGCTCAAAGCTGTTTTGATCAACAAAGCAATAGGTCTTAGTCTTTTAAAAATATCAACTAGTCCAGGTCTCTTCTTCTTCCACTGTATCAGAGTCAGAATGTAAGACTATATCCATATGCTCTTTACAGAGTACTTAAATATACACATAGCCAAAGCCATCTAATGTAAGTTAAAGAAAGTAAATGTACATAATTTAAATTGTGAGGAAAGATGAAACTAATTTTAATGATAAAACATACTATTTTACAATGTGGTATCAAGAGACCAATTACCCACTCTCAAATGAACTGTGACATAAAAGAAAATTGTGACATTTTCTTCTCAGTTTTGCATTCCCTTCTATGCTGACACACCTCCTGTGTTTTGTGGCCGCCTCTATTTGAGCAATATTCTCTATAAATCTCTTCATTCAACCTCTTTGTTTAAACTTGTTGCCTGAATATTCTACCATATCACCATATTACCTAGATATTACCTAGATAGGCTCAGTGTCTGAAATGACCATCATCTGGTATTTCTACCTTGGTGTGTTTGCTGCCAAACTTCTAACAGGTTATGATGTTCAAGAAGGCTGAGTTAGTCATCTGCCTCACTAGACACACAGCATCTAGGTCCACTATGTTTCTGGAGCATTATAATGCACAAACATATCTACCTCCCGAGTAGCTCCATTATAAAACATGTTCTCTGCTTCTAGCCCATATAAGAACTATCTAAAGAGTATGCTGCTAAAAATCATGATAGCATACTAGTATAAATCTATGTGCCATGAGACAACACTTTGAGATCCTTATTTTTTATTATTATTTCCAAAATGATTTCTATTGATTACGTAAGCCTGCCTGGAGGAATCTCTGCTGAGCAAACACATGAATGATTGGTGAAACCTTTTCTGTATCTATTCTCTTTGAATATTTTCTTCCACTCATTTGTGGGGGGTGGCTTATCTTTCTTTCATTTTCAGTAGTCACTCTTTGAGCAATACTATCCTACGTTCCAAGTTTTTTGTTGAATCATAGAACTGAGCAGGTCTTGAGGAGGAGTTAGTCTGCTCTTCAAGCAGCATGATTGAAGAATCAAATAAATGTCCCAGATGAGTACTGGAAATCCAAAACCTTTCTTTAATCCACCCTAATTCAATTTGGGATCTTGCTTTACCTAATTCTTTTAAAGTATGTTTATTCTTTAAGAATTACTCACAATGCATCTTGATCATATTTACCACCAATTCCTGGTCTTGTCTCCTTCCAGATACACCTCCACCTCCTTACCATCTTTGTCCACTTTAAATAACTCCTAGGTTCAGTTGTATGCTGTTTATACACGCCTAGGTGTAGAGTCACATACTAGTGTGGTAGACTTACAGCATCCACATCCTTAACCAACAATGCGCCATGATACTTCTTGGTAGATGGAGAAAGTAGAAACTCAGAAGCTATGGGGTCTTAGTTTCTGAACTACTCTAGTTTTCTTCAAGTGCAGAGGGACATTCTTCAGTTTGTGTGCCTATAATTAACTGCAGAATAAGATACTAAATTCTGAATTCGAGAAGCAGATGAGAGAAAAATATTCGATCCGTCAAAACTGTCTAAAACCATTGGACACTTGGCGCAGTGCCAGAATTCTGTAGGTATAGATGGATATCCTAGTGAGAAGGTTCATAATTATTTTAACAGGCTGATTGACAAAACAAGACAGTTTCTTAAAGATTGAAACAAGGCCTCATGTAGCACAGGCTAGCCTAGAACTCATTATTGTGTTAGTCAGGGTTCTATATAGTCACAAAACCTACGGAATATCTCTATGTATTAAGGGAATTTATTATAATGACTTACAGTCTGCACTTCAACTAACCCAACAATGAGCAGCTGGGAATGGGAAGCTTAATAATCCAGTAGTTTCTCAGTCCCACAAGGCTAGTTCGTTCAGCTGGTCTTCTGTATAAGCTAGAATCCTGAAGAAGTAGGTTCCAACAGATGTGCTGGCAAGTTAAGTGCCAGCAGGTAAAGAAGAGTGAATCTTCCTTCTTCCAATGTCCTTATGTAGGCCTCCAGCAGAAGGTGTGGCACAAATTAAAGGTGTGTGCCACCATGCCTAGATTTGGAACTTGCTTTGTTACAGGCTAGCCTTGAACTCAGAATTCTGTTTACCTTCATCTCCTGGGATTAAAGGCATGTACCACCTTGTCTGGGCCTAAGCTTTTCATGGCCACTACACCTCAAGATCTCCATGTTAAGATCCAGATCAGAAGCCTGTGTCTTCCAGCCGCAAGGCCTGGATCACAGGTGCACCTTCCATTTTTGGATTGTAATTCATTCCAGATGTAGTTACTTTGACAACCAGGAGTAGTCATCACACAAGTATTTGGATTATAGGCTTATGCTGCCATGCTTAGATAGAACCCAGGGCCTTCTGCTTTTTGTGTGTGAACTCTACCAAGTAAGCAACATCCCCAGTCCCCAGACAAAGCATTTTCTATATTTTAGCTTTAAATCATTCCTTGAGTTGATTTTTAAGTAGATATAAGTAGATGTAAGAAATAAATGGAATTATCAGAAATGTGAGCTTATCACATTTATAAACATTATTTCTTACAGAATCTACAGCTAATACTATGAAAAACAAGATTTTGATACTCTCCTCTATAGCTGGATCATCATAAATATTGGTATTGTGGTATCTACTTCCTGATAAGCATCCTAGGTACATGAACCATGTCATAGTCAAAGCATGTCAAATTTTTAGTGGGCCAGAAGACACAGTACGGCTACAGTAATTAATCAAAGAAGACTCATGTGTTTTCAAACACAGAATCTGTTTTGTGATTAGGAATTTTGACTCTTCTGTTGTTTGCGTTGTATAAGAAGTGAGCAATTTATTTAAAAAAATGGCAGCTATAAACAAGGCAATGGAGTGTACATCATTAGATGGTTTGTATCATATGGAATCAAGTATCATCACCATCTGAATAAATAACTGTGTGTTTCCTTTGCAGAAAGAATTTAATAACGACTGTAAGCTGAAAGAGAGGATAGAGGAAAATGGATACAACACCTATGCATCTTTTAACTGGCAGCACAATGGCAGGCAAATGTACGTGGCATTGAATGGAAAAGGAGCTCCCAGGAGAGGACAGAAAACAAGAAGGAAAAACACCTCGGCTCACTTCCTCCCCATGGTGGTCCACTCATAGAAGAAGGCACTGTTGGTGGATGCAGTACAACCAATGACTCTTGGCCAGAAAGAGATAGTATCCTCACTGAAGACTGTAGCTCAAAAGGCAAAGACATAGCCCTGAGTTCAGCTTGTTTAAAGGAAGGAAGGCTTTGGATGTTTTTGTACTCACTGCTGACATACGAAGTTCTTTTCACTAGCTCTGTGTCATTGTGTCATGCCTTATAACCAAGATAGAGGCAAATCAAGTTTGGATGAAAGTTATCCTCAAGTGAACAATATTGTGGCTGGGGCTGGGTTTTTTGTTTTGTTTTGTTTTTTTAAGTTTTTGTTTTTTGAACTTCTGAGATAGGACTTAAAGAACATGGAACACTCTGTTGAATGATCTTTGGGAAAGTTATTTATGGAATATGAACACATATCAAAGACTTTCATTGCTCATTCAAGCCTGATGATTCAATGAGCAGTAAGACACACAAGCATTTACTGGAAAGCACTTGGGTCATATCATATGCACAACCAAAGGAGCTTTGGGTGTGGCACCATGGAAGAATTGGATCAGATTTACAAATAGAAACATAGTAGTGTGAAACTGTCCTAACAATACAAATAGTATGGTATGCTTGTGCATTCTGTCTCCATTCTTTTCTATTTCCTTCTAAGTTATTTATTTAATAGGATGTTAAATATCTTTTGGGGTTTTAAAGAGTATCCTCAGCGCTGCCCTCTGATTTACCTTCTCTTTTTCTCTCTTTCTCTCTCTCTCTCTCTCTTTTGGCACCATGCACACATTCATGACAAAGTGTTTTAAAACCTTGGCAAACAAACAATTCAGAAATGAGATCAAGGAAGCAGTATGAATGCCCCATGTGCTCTCAGTTGACTTAATTTGCACTTCTGCAACAAAAACCATCAGTGATGACTATGGCAGAGTTCTGCTATAGCTTAAGTAACACCTATCTGCCATCATTTGTCAACATATATCAGTCTGGAGAGACCCTTACCTTAAAACATAGAAGGCCAAATTCTCTTTCTTTGCCTTATTTCATCTCCAAGATATACTAAAAGAAGAAAAATGAATTGTTAGATTTAAATTAACCTTGTTGGCTTTTTTGTCGTACTGATGATGGCTTGCCACAGGTCACAATGGCAAATGATGGAAAGGTCATCTGCATATACATGAGCCCTTTGTAAGTCCCACAGAATCCTTCTCCCTCAAAGGAACCAAAAAGGAAATTTGGTATGAAGTGCAACTCTCCCTGGGGCTTAATCTGAGCAAATATATCCTAGTATATGTATAACCATATACTGACACCTGTTCAAGCTGTATGGTCTAGTCTTTACAGAACCAAATAAACCTTGTTTTCTCTAAATTTAAAGTGTTCTAGAAGGTTCCATAACATAACCACATTGAAATTCATTTTCTTAGAGAAGGTATAGAAAGCAGTCTGTAAGTGTGTCATGCACCCTCACTGTGTAGTTCACTAAATAAACACATAAGCCTTCTTTGCAGTGTCTGTAGTAATTTTAAAAATGTACAAAACATTATTTCTTCTAAATAATTTTAGAGGATAACTCTAAGACTATATTGATGCTGCAGTCTTCTTGTTTGGAAAAGTCTGTTTATTTTTATTGTTGGATACAGTATTTTGATACAAACGAATAGACTCACCAAATGTGTTTTTGTTTTGTTTTTTTTTACTAAAATTTAACCTCTAGAAAGGCTAGTGGTTTGTGATCCTCTTCTAACTTATTTGTGCTGATGCTTGGCCAGTGCAAATCAGTTCTTTAAAATATTATTGTTAAAGGTTAATCAATTATTGAAAAATCAGTTGTTTTTCCAGAATGTTCCCACAGAGTAATCCAATATAAGTCATATTTATGATTTCTTTGAAAAGCTGGTATTTCAAGAGAAATGCACAGAGGCACAATGCTTTGGTTTATGGGTATAGGTTGCATTTCAGGGTGTTCTTTCAACTTGTTTTGTGACAAATGGGATTTTTAAAATGTATACTTCTTGTGGTTGGATTCTGTATGTTAGAGTTTAATTGGTAACTGAGTCTGAAAGCTCTAATGTAATGCATCTCTAGAAAAACTAGGTATCTTTTTTGCTTTTATTTTAAAATAATAATTATACCTGACACATGAACATGGACCACCCACAACCAAAATTAAATGTTTGGGGAGACAAACTATAGTATTCAGTGACCAGAGTAACAGCAAATAGGGCAGACGTTGGATTCTTATTTCACATTGCCATTTAGATTACTAAAGAGACTACGTGTAAACAGTCATCATTATAGTACTCAAGACATTAAACAGCTTCTAGCAAAATGTATCAAAGCTTGCAGAGTCCAAAAATAGAAAACATCTTTCCCCCTCTCCCACCCTACATTTCCCCTTGTATACATCCTAACAGAGATAAATACAAAAAGAATTCGGTAAGGAGAGAGGAGATTCTTCTGCATTTAATAAATGCATATTTGTTTGATATTAATAGAGAATTCTGGTCCTTTTTACAACTACTGAAAGAAAATAAGTTCAGTCCTAAATTTTGTGTGTTTAAAAAAAAAAAAAAAACTCATCAAGATTTTGGGAGTTCTGCCTCCGTGGGAAGTGTGGGCACTGGTCCACCATACTAAAATGTGTTAGCCATGGATACAGGGCTTATGAGTGTTGACATCAGACTCCTTAAAGATACAGAATCGCTTCCTTCCTCCTAACCCCTAAAAGGCTGAACAGTGTATATTATGTTACATTTAAATAAAGGCAATAAAAATGTTGGGAAAAGAAAATAAAAGTACTGTCCTTGTTTTCTTTCTTTTCTTTCCTTTTTTTTTTTTTTTTTTATTAGCCTAAATCTCTACCTGGTAACGAGATCAGCTGCAGGGCTGTGTGCACGCACGGCAGGATGTGGTTAAATGCCCTACAGCCCCAAACAACAACAACAGAAAAAAAAAATTACTCAAACATTTGTAAGGTTTCTTTAATGTTTTACATGTGTGAGCCGGCTATCCTTACCCTAATAACAACCAAATGCTTTCGGGTTTTTCCTGACTCTTCAGGTCCACCTAGTTTACACAGTGGATAAAGAAGAATGAATTGAGAACAAGGATGGCTTGTGCAACAATGAGAGGCTTTTGGAGGAAAGCCAGGAGCTGCAAAAGCTGACTTCCAGGGGATGCAAAAGACCAATGAATTTGATTTGAAAAGTAGGCAGGAAAGAATAAAAAACTGTAGTAATGCAAGTTGATTCCAGGGCCCAAGTAAGTTTATGGATATAGTCGAGTGGATCAGTCTTCTATGGCACAGTTCTAAGAATTAGAGCGTTGTTAATTCTTGGTTTGATTATTCAATAAAGTAAACTTAACATTTTTATATTAATGAGTAGCTAGCCCTAAGCTTGATTATATATGTATGTGTTGTATATATAAATACACACATATACAACACATACATATATATGTATATATGTACTTATGTATCTATGTATGTATATGTGTACATGGACTTAAAAATATTTAAGAGATGATGAACTGTACTTTAGAACAGCACATATGGCTTCAAAGAAATGTGGGGACAAGAGCTTTGCCTACCTTGACAGATGGTACCTTTGCTATTTAAACTAAGCTATAAAGAGAACCTTGACCTCATGAAGGCTGGATGCCCCAGGGGGTGGGAATTTTGAGGGTGGGGAGGTGGGAGTGGGGGGGTAGATAGAGGTTACATCCACAGAGAAGAAGGAGGAGGGGCGAGGGGATTGGGGGTTCCGAGGGGGTGGTGGGGGATGGGGTAAGGGGACAACATAGGAAATGTAAATAAATCATCCAATAAAAAAAAAAAAAACTAAGCTATAAAAACAATTTACCTTGGAAGAATGCTGAAGTAGGGGGTAGGCTCTCTGAATTCTTCCGAATTGGAAAGTAAAGCAAGAAGCATTTGTCATTCTCCTTCACTTCCTGTAAGCTCACACTGACTGTAGATGGTTACCCATTGCTCGCTTTCAGGTAGTTTCTTTCCAACTACAAAGCTCTAAGCTTCCTTTTCTCAAGGAGAAAAATTGAAACACTGTGGATGTGACTCCTACTGTTCAGTTTGGAGTCATTTACCCATCAGCGTCAGGAGCAATCTGCTAGCAAGGGATCTAGGCATTGCAAAGGCCCAGTCTTCATTCCTGTGAGCACAAAGAGGCAAGGGACAGTTTTTGGAAGTTCACACACAAGAGTGAAGAATCAGTCACTTGAAGGAGGATGAGGAGAGGAAGAAAAGAAATAAAAAGTAAATGATAAAAATAATAAAAAGCAGTTGGGAGATAGGTATAAAAAACAGAATAATTGCTAGTTACATGTGCTTAAAAATAAACTATCTTATTCCTACATATTTTAATCAACTCCAATCACCTGTCATTTATTTTTTTCCAAGTGAGAGAGATGCAAAGATCTTTTTTTTTACACAGGTTTTAAATGAAAATAATACATTTGTTTTGTTTTAAGCCAAGAATGGGGCCCTGAATATAGCCAGGCTCCCTGTAGCTTTGCACATCTTATAGAAAGGTTAGTTGAATGAATTACAAGTTTTCAATTAAAAGAGGCTGGCCCTTCTAGTAAATATCAACTAGTATCATAAAGATGCTGTAAATACTTCTTTAAACTTCTCCCATGAACATGTGCTAGTGTTCTCGAGCAATTAACATAGAAAAAATTGAAAACCATGTATCATTTCTTGTTTTAATTATAGAAAAAGAATGTAGAAAAAAATGGAAAAAATTGTGTTACTTCTTTTAACGAATCTTGTATATTGTCAAGAGGGGGAAAAAGGAAACTTTACAACCTGCATTTTTCTTTTCTTTTGTAGAGTAGGGGAAACATCAAAAAATTCCCTTCTAGGTAAACAATCTACTGAAACATATTTATAAACACCATGCATTAGTTAAAATGGAGTGATCATGACCAAACTAGCAGGATCAAAGGATCCTGGTCTTATTTCTAAGTGGATAATAACAGACATTTACATGAGTCT